ATCATCATATATTATCATTTTTTATTATTACTTTAAATATTATAACTTCTAACTTTCATAGATTTCAATAGATTTACATTATAAACTAGATAGTAAACCCAAAATGTACTTTTCAGTTATTTTATTTACTGTTTTGTGTATTTTGGGAAAAAATAAATTCTTCTTCTCAATGCTATGCAGCGTTCTTAGAGTCATCTACAGCTCTGTTCATCACTCTGCACACATCTAACGTGTTAACAGTTTCCTACATTTTATTTGAAAACTGACATTTTTAATGATTTTGTACATTTATATTGGCCCTCAAACTGGCTTTATGTTACTGAAACACTAATTCCAAACTTTTGAATAGTGGTGTACCCAGCTATCAACATGTCTCAGGGTTTTGTAAAGGGGAACTCCACTAAATTTTCAAAATTTCTGCATAATTAAATGAATACGATGTAAACAGAGTCATTCAGAGTGGTTTGGTGTGAAACGCTCCGTTCTAGAGAAACTTACAAAGTCAGAATAGTTCACAGTGGTGGTGATAGGAACCAGACGTCCACCTCTAAAAGCTCCCTCTCAGAAAGTTATTACATTAAATGTTTGTGAATACACCGCCTGATGTGTGAGATATTGTTTTACATCAGTTTTAAGAAAGTTTCCATTCAAGTTACATGCAGTGTGCTGTGAGGCAAAACAGTACCTAAAGAAATGTATTTTTTGTTGGTTTCACCTCTATTTTACCTTTATAAGTATCACATTGGCTCACTGGTGGTTTTGGATGATTAAATGTAAAATGACTACATTTGTATTGTAGACAGGGCAACCCCTGGTTCCTATCACCAATACTGTGAAGAATTCCAAATCAATAAATTTCTCTATAATTAATCATTACACATCAAAACACTCTGAGTTACTTTGATTACATGTCAGATTACTGTCAGTAACTGTAAGAAATTTTGAAAATCAGTGGGATTCCCCTTTAAGATGTTTGTGAACCCACATTATTTGGTCATATTAAAGAGAAAGGCTACTGTTTTTTTTTCAAAATGTCTGCATAATTCAGTGGTTGAGATATAAGCAAAGTCATTCAGAGTGGTTTAACATGAAATGGGTCATTTGTAGAGAAAGTAACCAACTCACATTTCTTTACAGTGGTGGTGATGGGAACCAGGGGTCGCCATGACTGCAACACAAATATAACCTTTTTATTTACTATCCAAAACCACCAGTGAACCAACACGAGTCTTCTGAGGTTTTAATATGTATGTTTATGATGGTAAAATAGTGATAAATCTGAGAAAAAAAAGGTTTTATCTGGGGACTATTTTGCCTCACAACACCCTTCTTGTATCCCTCCACCATGAAAAGATTCAAATAAATTAATGAAAGCCGAAACTTTGTCACAAAACTATCATAAAACAGTGTCTCAGTCATCAGGCAGTGAATTCATAACCATTTAATGTAGTAACTTTCTGTGAGGGAGCTTTTAGAGGTGGACGTCTGGTTCCTATCACCACCACTGTGAACAGCTCTGACTCTGTAAGTTCCTCTAAAACAGAGCGTTTCACTCCAAACCACCCAGAATGACTCTGTTTACATCTTAACCATGTAATAATGCAAGAAATTTGGAAAATCGGTGGAGTTCCCCTTTAAGGCACACACTTAGCTAACCTACAGTGGAACTCACTTGTCTTGTCTGACCAACATCAGAACATTTCACTGAATAAATTAGCTCTGCTTCCAGTGACTATGAGCCACAGTGTTACAGCTATTACATCTCCTTTTCTCACCGTTGTGTCCCGAAAGCTGTTTCCAGGCAGGAAAGGAAGTCCGTGCGTGGTGTGGGCAGCCATTACGAGTATTCTTCATAAACAGACTCCTCAGTTACTTTTTAAACGTCTGTTTCGTTTAGATCTAAAGTAGTCCGATTAAATGCAGTCTACGAGCAAAAACCCGATTCCCCTGAGACATTTCAGCACAGCAGACTGACCGGCGGCCTGAGGACGTTTGTTTATTAGCTTTGGTATCCTTGGCAACCAAGAGCCGGTAGTGGTTTCTATGGAGATAGTAAACGGTTAATTTAAATTCCTTTATTAACTTCCTAAAACGTTTGAAAAATTACAAACTTTTATAAACTATAAGGTTTTTTTTTATTTTTTTTTTATTTATTTTTTTTATACAAAGCCCAATATCTTCACATTTTATAACATCCCTTACATACAGGAATGTCTTTTTTATGTGCAATATACATTTGACCAGTAGATGTCGCCCCACACTAACTCAAAACCAGAGCCGGTTTAAAGGGGAGCCTGGGCGCGTCCTAGTCCTCCCGTTCTATCAAAAACACGACTACGAAACGCCAGAGGGCGCCCGCGAGCAAGCCCTCAATGAATGGGGGTGAGTAGAGCGAACGGCTAAAACCGAAAAGTTAAAATACTTTTTAACTGTTTGTCCTGGACTTTTCTTTAATTTTGGAAAGTAGAAGGATGTATTTCACTAAAAAAGCAAAGAAAATGTACCTGTAAATTGCCTTTTTTCTACGGCAAACAGGTTTTAGGCAGTAGAACGCTATAGCATTGCTGCTACTGAGTGCTGATTAGTTGGCGTTACTGCTACTGAGTGCTGATTAGTTGGCATCACAGCTACTGAGTGCTGATTAGTTGGCGTTACTGCTTTTGAGTGCTGATTAGTTAGTACTACTGCTACTGAGTGCTGACGGTTGGCGTTACTGCTACTGAGTGCTGATTAGTTGGCATTACTGCTACTGAGTGCTGATTAGTTGGCATTACAGCTACTGAGTGCTGATTAGTTGGCGTTACTGCTACTGAGTGCTGATTAGTTGGCATTACTGCTACTGAGTGCTGATTAGTTGGCATTACAGCTACTGAGTGCTGATTAGTTGGCGTTACTGCTACTGAGTGCTGATTAGTTGGCATTACAGCTACTGAGTGCTGATTAGTTGGCGTTACTGCTACTGAGTGCTGATTAGTTGGCATCACAGCTACTGAGTGCTGATTAGTTGGCATTACAGCTACTGAGTGCTGATTAGTTGGCGTTACTGCTACTGAGTGCTGATTAGTTGGCATCACAGCTACTGAGTGCTGATTAGTTGGCATTACAGCTACTGAGTGCTGATTAGTTGGCGTTACTGCTACTGAGTGCTGATTAGTTGGCATCACAGCTACTGAGTGCTGATTAGTTGGCGTTACTGCTTCTGAGTGCTGATTAGTTAGTACTACTGCTACTGAGTGCTGACGGTTGGCGTTACTGCTACTGAGTGCTGATTAGTTGGCATTACTGCTACTGAGTGCTGACTGGTTGGCATCACAGCTACTGAGTGCTGATTAGTTGGTGTTACTGCTACTGAGTGCTGATTAGTTGGCATTACTGCTACTGAGTGCTGATTGTTTGGCGTTACTGCTACTGAGTGCTGATTGGTTGGTGTTACTGCTACTGAGTGCTGATTAGTTGGCATCACAGCTACTGAGTGCTGATTAGTTGGCGTTACTACTACTGAGTGCTGATTAGTTGGCGTTACTGCTACTGAGTGCTGATTGGTTGGCATCACAGCTACTGAGTGCTGATTGGTTGGCATTACTGCTACTGAGTGCTGATTAGTTGGCGTTACTGCTACTGAGTGCTGATTGGTTGGCATCACAGCTACTGAGTGCTGATTGGTTGGCATTACTGCTACTGAGCGCTGATTGGTTGGCATTACAGCTACTGAGTGCTGACTGTTTGGCGTTACTGCTACTGAGTGCTGATTAGTTGGCGTTACTGCTACTGAGTGCTGATTAGCTGGTATCACAGCTACTGAGTGCTGATTAGTTGGCATTACTGCTACTGAGTCCTGATTGCTTAGCATTACTGCTACTGAGTGCTGATTGCTTAGCATTACTGCTACTGAGTGCTGATTGCTTAGCATTACTGCTACTGAGTGCTGATAGGTTGGCATTACTGCTACTGAGTCCTGATTGGTTGGCATTACTGCTACTGAGTCCTGATTGGTTGGCATTACTGCTACTGAGTCCTGATTGCTTAGCATTACTGCTACTGAGTGCTGATTGCTTAGCATTACTGCTACTGAGTGCTGATAGGTTGGCATTACTGCTACTGAGTCCTGATTGGTTGGCATTACTGCTACTGAGTCCTGATTGCTTAGCATTACTGCTACTGAGCGCTGATTGGTTGGCATTACTGCTACTGAGGGCTGATTGGTTGGCATTACTGCTACTGAGCGCTGATTGGTTGGCATTACTGCTACTGAGGGCTGATTGGTTGGCATTACTGCTACTGAGTCCTGATTGCTTAGCATTACTGCTACTGAGCGCTGATTGGTTGGCATTATTTACCAGCAATCAGCTTGCTGGTTCCAGCGCCAGAGGAGAAGGGTTGACAATACTGTGGTGCGAGCGGGGAAACCCCCCCCCCCTTCATTGTGGAGATCTGCGCAAACACAGTAACCAAAACAACCCGGAAAATCTTGGTTTTTTGTGCGTTACTGTGCCAAACGTTAGAAACAGATTTTACTGCTGTAGACAGATTTTACTGTTGATTTCAAATATGTTTTTGAAACAGTGAGTATTTTGGTCTCTCCCCATTCAAAGAGATGGGAGTCTGGGCTTGTATGGATGGAAAAAACTGCCCGGCGGTGTTGCAAATAAAGATGGCCACCAAGTGAACAGACTTTCCTATAAGGACTTTGGTGAAGCGATTCGTACTCACTGATGTCATGAACCTACACGGGGTGTTGTTATGAAGTCCTATAACTGGAGTTTAAAAGTGCACAAAAATATAATATTGGTGTTTACATTGTTCTGTGTCCAGGAAATGAAAGCATTCATCTATAGAAAAATGTTTAAGCATTTACAAATGATGACTTCGCTCAAACGCTCCATAATAACCCATTCATTTTAGACTCACACGGGAGCGCCCTCTAGTGTCGACAAACCCGGCGGTCATTACTGAGTGACAATTCTCCTGATTACAAATTCTCTGCCAAAACCAAGAAGCCATTTTATAGTTCATTTGAAATTTATTCCAAGCACAGGTTAAAATTTGGTTAAAGCAGGTAAGGCAGTGGTTGCAAATAGAGCAAGTAAGAGTACAAAAACAGCTTTTATGGTCCTAGAATTTCATTTCATGGTCTTAGAACATCCCAGACACTTTTTCCTATGAAAATCAAGTCCGGAATTCAGGTCAAAGCAGAAAAAACCTACAGCAAACCAGGACAAGGGCAAGGAAAAATCTGGGCTACTTCATCTCTGTGCTTTTAATACAGGGAAACTGAAATTCTTAAGCGTCCCAGTGGAGCCCCAGAGCAGAAGGAGGTCCAATTTGTGACGAATAACTTCACTAGTGCTTGTTGGTGATTATTTCTAACCCTTTTCGGTTCTGTTTCTCTTCTCTCATGGACAAAAAATCCACTGGGAAGCTTTGACTGTAGATAAACTTAAGAGAATAGATACTCAAACCTATATAGCCTAATGTATATACACCTGTCAGATACAATGATGCACGCCATGTTCCGTGTTACATGGCCAGAACAGTTTATAACAAATAAGAAGGCAAGGGAACTGTAACAAAGATTGCATTAGCATAGTTTGATCAATCAATAAATAAATCACTGATTGACTCATTGCATCTATATTGTATCATACACAGTAAAACCACCAGTGAGGAATTAAAGGTGAATTCCATTGAATATTTTTACATTTCTGCATTATTTAATGGTGGAGATGTAAACAAAGTCATTCAGAGTGGTTTGATGTGAAGAGCTCTGTTTTAAAGAAACGTACAGAGTCAGAATTGTTCACAGTGGTAGTGATAGGAACCAGACGTCTGAAGAGTTTAATAGCTACCAAAGCTGCATCACAGAAAGCTGTTATACAAATTGATTATGAAAACGCTGCCAGAGACATTATTTTATAATAGTTATAATAGTTAATAATAGTAGTAATAATAGTTTATAGTTTAATAGTTGAAATTTAGCACCATTATTAACATTTTACAAAAACTAATTTTGGACATTTTGGATTAATAAATAAAATGCCTATATTTGTGTTGTAGACATCATAACCCCTGGTTCCTACCACCACCAAAGTAGGATGTCTGAGTCTATCAAACCACTCTGAATGACTTTGTTTAAGTAATTCAGTCTCAACAAATTTACTATGCAGACATTTGCAAAAAAATCAGTGGAATTCTCTTTTAACTCTTACCAAACTGAATTAACTGGACATGGTAAGAGTTCATTCAACACAAGCAGTTCTACTATGCTATATCTCCAATGTTATAAGGCACTCAGCTTCTATGCATAATAAAGCCTATGCAAATGTAAAAACGCTAGGCCTCAACCTCTTTGAGGTTTACACTTCTGGATATTTCCTGCAGACACTTTTTCAGCAAAGTACATCCCGTTTTTAGGAATACAAAATAGTACCATTTGACACAGAAACACTCGGATTACATCCCTGAGCTATCACATGAACGCTGCCACAGTATAAAAATATTTCATAATAATTCAGGAAAAGAACAAAACAAAACAACAATAGGAAAAAAAACTATTAAATATTCAAAATATATTTTATAAGGGCTGAGATGAATTCCAAGCATTTTTTGTTCATATATATATTTTCTCTCTTCTTTTTTTTTCAGGTAACGTTCAAAGACAGCACCACTTGACCAGGGTCATATTTATGAATAGTCCTTAGACCCGGCCAGTGTCCTTGGTCTTGCCTTGCAGAAGCCCGCCTCCAGTTCTGACGGGCAGAAGGAAAGGACCAATCAGGGTGCTGGAACTGTTTAGAGCTTATTTTGTCTTTCAGAGCTGCCTCAAACTCCAAATTGCTGCCAAAAAAACATCCTACAGTCTTCAGACTACATCTCCCATGAGCCTCAGCAGAAGAGAGGTGGTGGTGGTCATATGTAGATGACCTTTGATCTCAGCTCGGTGGAAGTGTCAAGCTTACCAGGCTGAGGAGCTTATTCTCACCGCAAAGGCCTGGAAGTGTGTAAGATATCAAGCAAACACACACACACATAGCAGGCCATTACAGTCTGTGTTGTAGTCTTCTGTGTGTCCTTTCGGAAAACTACAACTCCCAGCTATGGCCAACGCTAATCAGGACAACACACAGCCTGGGCGGTGTTAGGGTTAGGGCTGCAACTAGCGATTATTAGTAAAATCCATTACTGTGTTCAATAAATCGACTAATCTAACCATTACGTCCTCTTCGGTTACTTCGGTTCCATCGTTAAAAGTTCCATCTGCGCACCAAGCGGTTTCTTCTTTTGTTATGCAGTGAAACAACAGAAGCCATGTCGCCCTCTACATTTCCCGTAGTGTACTGCAATCTGTCAGATGGACCCTGTGCATCATGTGAACATTATAAAGCATTACAGAGAGCTTTTGAAATGAAAGAGTAGGAGCTACAGTAGCGCCCCCTATGGTTTCCTGTTGTGTATTACAATCTGTCAGAATGACTGTGCGGATTATATAAACATTATAGAACATTACAGAGTGCTTTTTAAATGAAACAGTAGGAGCCATATCGCCCCCTATGGTTCCTGTCGTGTATCACAATCTGTCAAAATGACTGTGCGGATCATATGAACATTATAGAACATTATAGAGTGCTTTTTAAATGAAACAGTAGGAGCAATATTCATGCCCCCTAAGGTTCATGTATGGTATTGCAATCTATCAGAATGGTTGCGCAGATCCTATGAACATTATAGAGCCTTTTTAAATTAAACAGTTGAAGCGTATCGCGCCCTATGCTTCATGTAGTGTATTACAATTTGTTAGAATGACTTTATGAACATAACAGAGCTGTCAAAATGACAGCAAGGATCATATAAATATTATAGACCATTATAATATGCTTTGTAAATGAAACAGTCAGAGCAATATCGCCCCCTACACTTCCTTTTGTGTATTACAATTTGTCAGAATGACTGTGTGAATCATATGAACATTTGAGCAATGTAGAGTGCTTTTTAAATGAAACCCTATCGCCCCCTACACTTCTGGAGGTGTCTAGAGTGATGCTTCCAAAATAAACAACAAACTTTACTCCGTAATCGACTGACAGTTGCAGCCCTAGTGTGTGTGTGCGCTTGCAGCACAGCTGTGAGGACATTAATAGTATCGGTTGAGGCTGCGAGTGCCCGGTATGTCCGGCTGTCCGTTCATCCAGATCTCGCGGATGATCCTCTCTCTCTCCTCCAGCCTCTGTGCTCGCTCCAACTCCTCAGCGGAAGTGAAGATGTTGGTGTTGAGTGTGCGCTCGAAGCGCCGGTGCCGTCGTGCCGACAGGTCCGAGCCAGAGTCCCAGTCCGAGTCCGAGCCACTGCTGTCGCTTTCCGACTCGGCCGGCCGCGGGCGCTTCCTGCTGACCGCATGCCTCCGTCTGCAGTCTGTCCGGCAGGAAATCTGCACCACCAGTGCGAAGAGCGTGAGGAACAGGCCCGCGCACACACCGCACATGAAATACAGCGCACAGCGCTCCGGGTGCTCTGTGGACACAAACACATATGTAATTGTGTTTGTATATATATATATATATATATATATATATACATTATGACACACACTCACTTGCTTCTACGCTACATTGTCCACCCCATTTTATCAGCTCCACTTACTATATAGGTGCACTTTGTAGTTCTACAGTTACAGACTGTAGTCCATCTGTTTCTCTGCATACTTTGTTACTTAGCCCCCCTTTACCCTGTTCTTCAGTGGTCAGGACCCCCATGGACCCTCACAGAGCAGGTACTATTTGGGTGGTGGATCATTCTCAGCACTGCAGTAACACTGACGTGGTGGTGGTGTGTTAGTGTGTGTTGCGCTGGTCTGAGTGGATCAGACACAGCAGTGCTGCTGGAGTTTTTAAACACCTCAGTGTCACTGCTGGACTGAGAATAGTCCACCAACCAAAAATATCCAGCCAACAGCATCCTGTGGGCAGCGTCCTGTGGGCACCGTCTAACTAGAATAATATATTTATTCGAAATTTGCTTCCACTTTCTTAGTTCTCAGAATGTCCTAAACTGGAAGGCAGTTTATTTTTTTATAATAAAATATTTGTATTGAATTTTCCTTAATTTTCCTTAATTTTTTTAGTCTATTTGCACATGTGCTATGAATGCTAGCAGTTGGCCTGAGCCTGAAGTTTGATGGACAACAGTAACTAAGAGAGGCAGGAAGGGTCAGAATGTTCAGTTGTGTTTACCTTGGCATTTATGCATCTATAAAAACTTTTTTACTGATTAAAATAAATAAAGTGTTACTTTTCTTCTCATAAAACACAAAATAAGAGGACTGAGGTGGTTTGGGGGGAAAGGGTTACATGAAGGACTGAGTTGTGTGAATGTTACCTGTGATGTAGGTGTAGGCTGCGAGAGCATTACTGATCAGGGCCATCTCCGTGCTGGTCGCCGTGGCGACAGCGACCGTAGGAGTCTGATCTCTAGTCTCTTTCTCTTTATCTCTGTTTTCTTCTCTCTCTCTCTCTGTTTCCTTTTGTCCGTTTGCAAAGCGATTCTTCTCCAAGTACGACCCAGACTTCCCTCGCTTAGACTTCCCTGGAAAACACACACACACACACACACACACACACACACACAAAAATAAATCCTGCTATAATCTGGCAAATTCTGCTGTTGTGTAATAACAAGTTCAAACGCTCTGCTCTGTTTGTTGTTTTATGAGTCTTTCATTTTTGAAACTACTGTCTGTGTTTAGGTTTCATTTCAGGCTGGCAGGCTGTGTATCAGCATGTGTGCGGCTTTGCAGACAGTGTAAAATGTGTATATATGTCTGTATGTGTGTGTGTGCGTGTGTGTGTTTGTCTGTGTATGAGTGTATATGTGTGCAAATGTGTGTGAGTGTGTGTGCGCGTGCCTGTGTCTATGTGTGTGTCTGTGTGTACAAAGTAAACAGCCTGAGGGTCAGAGCCACTGCTTGGCTCTAATTGACACTCTGGCAGTGCTGCTGTTTTCCTTTAACTCATTGAAACTCAGTCTGATAATGTCTGATAGTGTCCAGTGTGGTCCAGTACTAACTCTGTTCTTACCACACCTTCATCAGCTCACCCACACTTCACAAAACTCTCAAGATCAGTTTATTCCTACCCTAATAAGTCTACGTTCCTACTCACATTAGCCCAAATTCCCAGACGTGTATTCGCATTATGAGATCACATCTGGCCCTGCGAGACTAATCCAGCCTCGCCTCCGGAGGTGTTTGTTTACTTAAACAGTACTATAAGGAGAAATGAGTAATGAACAGGTTGTTGTTGTGTCTGATTCATGTGTTTGTGTCTGCTTTAAGCTCAGAATGTGAACAGGGGTCAAACACAGGGCTTCCAGCCTTGATGAAAGGGGGGCAAAGGCCAGAGTTGAGGTTGTTACCTGGTGCAGGGTCAGAGGTCAGGGACGGGTTCCCGTCAGGCGGTGCGCTGTCTCCCACCACATTGGGGTCATGAGTTTGCGAGGGGGGTGGGGCAAATGGAAGTCTCTGAACTGACTCTTGCAAAAGCTTCTTTGGAACTGTGGGAGGGCAGAGAGAAAGAGAGAGTATGTTTGTTAGCATAGCTTTACAATTAATTACAATTCATGCCAAAGAAGTGATTTGAATTCAAATCAGAGGGAGCGAGAGAGAGACTGTCATAGGATGCCACCCTTAGCACAAGCTAGTTCATGAAATTTCTACCCTGCTAGATCTGCCCTGGTCAACTGCAAGTGCTATTATTGGGAAATGGAAGCATCTTGGAGCCACAACAGCTCAGCCACAAAGCGGCAGTCTACATAAACTCACAAAGAGGGGCCATGAGTGCTGAAGCACATAGCACAATTCACTGTTCAAGTTCCAAACTGCCTCTGGAAGCAATATCAGCACAAGAACTGTGCATTGAGAGCTTCATGAAATTGGTTTCCATGGCTGAGCAGCTGCACATAAGCCCAAGATTACAATACACAATACCAAGCGTCAGCTGGAGTGATGTAAAGCACGCCACCACTGGACTCTGGAGCAGTTGAAACATGTTCTCTAGAGGGATGAATCACACTTCACTACTTGGCAGTCTGATGCATGAATCTGGGTTTGGTGGATGCCACGAGAACACTACCTTCCTGAATGCATAGTGCCAACAGTAAAGTTTGGTGGAAGAGGGATGATGGGCTGGGGCTGTTTTTCAGGTCCCTTAGTTCCAGTGAAGGGTGATGTTAATGCTACAGCACACAAATACATTTTACACAATTATATGCTCCCAACTTTGTGGTAAAAGTTTCAGGAAGACCCTTTCCTGTTCCAGCATGACTGAGCCCCTGTGCGTAAAACGAGCTTCATAAAGACAAGATCTGATGAGTTTGTAGTGGAGGACCTCCAGTGGCCTGCACAGAGCCCTGACCTCAACCCCACTGAACACTTATGGGATGAATGGGAATGTTGACTGCGAGCCAGGCCCTCTCGTCCAACATCAGTGCCACCACAGAAGAGTGGACGCTGTTAAGAGCCGCAAAGGGGGCCAACTCTATATTAATGCCCATAGTGTTGGAATGGGATGTCCAACAAGATGGAACTCTCTGGGTGAGATGGTCAGGTGTCCACATACTTTTGGCCATGTAGTGTATATAAGAGTGAGGGTGAGAAAGAAAGAAAGTGAGAGAGATGTATAAACAGAGGGAGGAGGAGAGAAAAAAGAGAAAAGGAAATGCATAGACAGTAAGGGGGAGCAAGAGGAGGTAGAGAGAGAGAAAGAGAGAGAGACAATGATTCAGTCCTAGATCATGCAGAGTTTCCAAATAACACTGATCAGTTCCCAAAAATCTTCTATCTGTCACTGCCCCCCCCCAACCCTCCCCTCTTCACTTCCCGTGAGTCAGCGTTCCAGACACGAACCCACAATGCACAGGGTTTAAAATCTGCGATGGCTGTGATGTGGTCACAAAACTGACCACGCGTCTGTCTGCCAAGCACGCACACAAGCGCATACAGTCTCTCTTTGTTGACTTTAAAGAGCGTTGCTGTAAAAGAACTGGCAGAGATACTGCAGCAATCAGCACTGACATTCTCACACACACACACACATGCACACACACACACACACACACACACACACACACACACACATAGTCCGAATGATATACACTATTTATCTAAGACCTCTGTGAATAAACATGGCACCAAATTTAGCCAGACTGTTATCAGGCGTACTTTGGAGAGTCTGGAAACAGCATCAGTACAGAATAACTCACTGATTCTAATAGACACACATACACACACACACACACACACACTGTTTCCTTTAAATTCCTATAATGGAAAATATTGGAAAATATTAAAAACTACAATAAAGGCACTTATATGTAATAATAATGTGCCCCACATGTAATATATCACTGCTGTCTGAATAACACCTTGTATCTCCATTTTTGTTGTTTTTCAGTTTTTGACAATATTTGAAACTGCCTACGACCCTTTATATTGTGTCTAAATTTCATGATGAATGGACCAAAGGAAATGGCCCAAAATGACTTGGAAAAAAGTCTGGTTCTATTGACTTACATTAAAAGTAAAGTAGGTTTTTTGCTTCTCCTGTAAAGTTACCATTTTGGAGATACGAGGTTTTCTTCTGACAGCAGTGTTATGCGTATATATCATCACTGTTGGAACAAACCTCGTTAAACAGAGACATAACAGAGTTTAGGAGTAGACAAACAAATAAATGTATGAATGAATGAATAAATGAATAAATAAATAAAGAATGTAAGTATTTCTTCTCTGTGTAAGTATAAGTATGCAGTCTACAGTCTCACTGTGTGCAGTGACTACACAGACAGGCCTTTGGAATACAGAAACACTGTAGTACAGTAATAATACAGTTCAGGCTCTGTGGGAGGTGAAAGGAAGCAGACGCTGGAGACAGAGAAAGACAAAAAACGTTTAAAAAATACTAAAAGGGAAGGAATGATTACTGGTAGACCGCCTGTCAACTCTCATCAGACTGACACACTAATCACTACAGTGCAAGTGTGTGTGTGTGTGTGTGTGTGTGTGTGTGTTGGGGGGGTCCTGAAGCTCAGCTCATGATTATAGGACACTGATTGGAGCTAATTGGAGACACATGTGCACATATATGTGTGTGTAGGGACAAGTGTGTGTGTTTGCAGAGAGCGAGAGAGAGAAAGAGAAAGGTACGACGAGAGAGAAAAAGAGAGACGAAGGAAGACAGAAATGTGAAAGAAAGAGAAATGTGAGAGAAATAGAAAGAGAGAGAGAGAGAAAGGAGGGAGAGGAAGAAAAAAGAGAGAAAGAAAAAGACAGAAGGGGAATAAATAGAAAGAGAGGAAAAGAAAGAAAAGAATGGAAAAAAAAGAAAAAGAAAATGAGAGAAGGGGACAAGGAGAAATATTATAAAACATGTTTCTGTTCATCAGCTCTGAACTGATCCAACAGCCACTCCACAGGAAACACAACACATCTGAGTGTGTGTGTGTGTGTGTGTGTGTGTGTGTGTGTGTGTGTGTGTGTGTGTTCGCACGCTCCAACCAAACACACACACACAGACACAAACACACACTAAAATCAGTGAAGCATGGAATTCTGGGACAGCAGGAGTGCTGGCAAAATCAGCGCCCGCAATACAGACATAATTACAACTGCAGAGAGAGAGAGAGAGAGAGAGAGAGAGAGAGAGACAGAGAGAGAGAGAGAGAGAGAGAGAGGAGAGAGAGAGAGACAGAGACAGAGAAAGAGAGAGAGACTGCATTAAAAGTTTCAGTGAAGGCATCATGACCCAGTTAGAGTCTCAACATGACACATCAAAGAAAGGAGACAAATACAACACTGAAATGATTTCAGTCCAGATACACACACACACACACACACACATGTAAAACACCTCTATTTTCAATACTAGTACTACTACTACTACTACTAATAATAATAATAATAATAATAAACTGTATTATATAGAGCTTTTTAAAGACCCATCCTCCCTTACGGGAGTTAATCTGCAACACATGGTCAAACATGAGCCTAAAGTCACCATGCCTGATGCCGAGGGGTATTAAGTCCCCCCCAGCACTGGGCTGTGGTGCAGCAGAACTGCATTCTCTGCAGTGATGGAGCTCCATCCAATACCTTTGGGATGAGTTAAAGAGATCCAGAACTGACCATCCAACATCAGAACTTGACCTCACTAATGCTCAATCAAATCCTCACAGCAATGTTCCAACCTCTAGTGTAAAGCCTTTCCAGAAGAGTAGAGGCTGTTACTGCAGCAAAGGAGGACAAACTCCCTATTAATACACTTCATTTCAGAAGAAACGCTAGATGAGAAGGTGTCTACAAACTTTTGGACATTTAGTGTGTAGTATAAGTAGCGCTGGTGTGGGTGAGAGAAACCAGAAGCCAGAAGACGCATTTGTAAACAGCTGTGAACTGCCCAGCCTTTTACTAATGGTGGGCAGGAGGGGTCAATATAAAGCCTTTAACTAGTGCAGCCGTTCATCTTCCAGACGCTGGAGCCGGTGTGTTTGTATGTTTCCTTCTCTTTAATTAGTGTTAGTGCAGAACACTGTGGACGCGGTGTGCATATATTTTAGCATCTGTGTTTGTTTGTGTATGTGTGTCTGTTTATGTCTGTGTGTTTCTATATGTCTGCTGTGTACTGTGTGTGTGTTTATGTGTGCATGTGCATACAGTGAAGGGTTTTCAGACACTTTTGTTTTATTTAATATACTTCTGGTACATATATTAACTTCATATTTACCCAAACAGTGAGAATGCCTTTTATACTGACACTAAGTGCATTTTGCAGCAATAATATTTAGAATTTAGGTTATTTTTATTTATATTGCTGCTGTCGGAAGAAAACCTAGTATCTCCAAAATGAGAACTTTACAGGTAAAGGAAAAAAACCTACTTTACCTTATTGCAAGTCAGTGGAACCAGACCTTTTTCCAAGTAATTTTGGGCCGTTTTGTTTTGGTCCTTTCATCATGCAATGTACACAGAGTGTAAAGGACAACTGGCATTTTCAAATTACGTCAAAAACTGAAAAACAACAAAAATTGAGATACAAGGTTTTGTTCTGACAGCAGCGATATGTATGTTGGCCATTGAGTACAAGGTAGGTGTTTCTAATAAAGTGGCCATGAGTGGAAGTACACGGTAGGAGTTACTAATAAAGTGGCCAGTGAGTGGAAGTACAAGGTGGGTGTTTCTAATAAAGTGGCCAGTGAGTGGAAGTACAAGGTGGGTGTTTCTAATAAAGTGGCCACTGAGTGGAAATACAAGATGGGTGTCTCTAATAAAGTGGCCAGCGAATGGAAATACAAGGTAGGTGTTTTTTAATAAAGTGACCAATGAGTGGAAATACAAAGTAGGTGTTTCTAATAAAGTGGCCAGTGAGAATCCACTGAAAGCACAGTCCCGACCGTCGCAAGCCTGGTGATTTCTTCAGGCCATGAGTGAACTCGATAAAGCTGCTGCTTTCTATAGACCTCAGCTGCTCATTGTGGACTTTGTTTACAACAGCAGAACG